CAATTTAAAAATGCGCAGAGGTCCTGATTAGACATTTCTCCAAAGAGGACATACAGATGGCCAATAGACACATGAAAAGATATGTTCAACATCACTAATCACAGAAATGCAAATCAAAACCACAATGAGATATCACCTCACACCTGTCAGAATGGCTAGCATCAATAAATTACCAAACATTAAGTGTTGCGAGGCTGTGGAGAAAAAGGAACCCTTGTGCACTGTTGGTGGGATTTCAAATCCGTGCAGCCACTATGGAAAACAGTATGGAGGTTCCTCAAAAAAGTAAAAATAGAACTACTTTATAACCCAGCAATTCCACTTCTAGGTATCTATCTGAAGAAATCCAAAACATAACTCAAGAAGATATATGTATCCCTATGTTCACTGCAGCATTATTTATAATAGCCAAGACATGGAAGCAACTGAAGTGTCGATCAACAGGCAGTTGGATAAATAAGATGTGGTACATATTTGCAATGGAATATTCCTCAGCCATAAAAAAGAATGAAATCTTACCATTTGTGGTATTATGCTAAGTGAAATAAGACAGAGAAAGACAAATACCATATGATTTCATTTGTACGTGGAATCTAAAAAACAAAATAAATGAGCAAAGAAAACAGAAACAGACTTAGAGAACAAACTGATGGCTGCCAGATGCAAGTGAGGTTGGGAGCAGGGTAAAAAGGGTGAAGGGATTAAGAAGTACAAACTGGCAGCTACAAAACAGTCATTAAGATGTAAAGAACAGCATAGGGAATATGGTCAGTAATGTTATAATAAACTATGTATGGTGTCAGGTGGGTACGTGACTTGTGGGGGTATCACTTCAAGTTAAAACAATGTCTAACGACTATGCTGTCCATCTGAAATTAATACAATATTGAATGCCAATTGTAATTGAAAAAAATGATAATACAAAAAGAAACTCTTAAATTGTATCAATTCCTCATTCCTTAAAACTTGTCACAGATAGGGTATCATAGCTCACCGTGATCCACAAAAGGACTCATGGTCAAATAATTTTACATGTTAAACAGATACATTTACTACAGGGCTTCTTGGAAGCTTAATATACTACCTGTACTCTGGAAGAGCTATAAGTGGGATTATGCAGATATTTAGTGAAAATACACACTGTGCCTTCCTATCAGCCTTTCCCTACCCCACCTCTTTTACAAGGCCATTCCTACCCCAATATGAGAGTTGGTCATGTGACATGCTTTGGTCAAGGAAATAGAGAGGTAGTGACATGTGCCACTTCCAAGCAGTGGTTTTAAAGAGCCACCATTCCACCACCATTCCTTTCTCCTTCTGCCCCAAGACTTGTACATCCCAGAGAGGTTGCTCCCTCAGCTTTGGTCCAGCAATGAAGAGGACCTGGAACACAGTGGCAACAGACTGATCAGGAACATGAACATGAGTGAGAAACTGTTACTGCTAGAAACCACTAAGATTTGAGGACTCTTTGGATAATGAAATATAAATGTGCCTAAGCTGACTGATACAGCATGTCTCCTAGATTTATTGGGCCCTGGCATCCTATTGCAACAAAATACTTTCCAGGATTTGTTTCCTAAATTATTCCTGGTTTTGTATAGCATCTTTTCTATTTTTCAGTTAATGCTGCATTTAAGATGAACATTATCTGTCAATTTCTTCTGGTAGTCAATAAAAAACATTTTATTGAAATAATCTGCTTAACATTCAGAAATCATAGATCCTACCAGATGGCTAGTTAAAAGTCAAGACTGTCTGTCAGACTAATGCTGATTAACATTTAGTTTTCTGAGCAGGTCAGATACTGTCCTGCTTTATTTTTTATATATGTATTCGAATTTAGCAAATTCAGAATATTGCCACAAATCTATCTTTCTTTAAACCTCACTATGCTCAACTCCCTGTCGGATTAGCAATGGAGAATATATTTGAAACTTCAGTATCAATATTTAAATATTCTATAGTGTACTCAGCTAATCCAATAAAACCATAATCAATTGCATGCTAACTGATATTCTTAAATCTAGAATGTGTTTTTCTAACTTACTTTTGCCTTAAAAAAATACCACAGAAAGGAGCAAAAATTATAGCTAAATCCCAATGTTCTCATTGGCATTAAGACTTTGTTGGGTGTTAAAAATCCTAGCAAAGACACATTCAAGCTAATTAGATACATTTTTACTATGTGTATAATCCTAGACAATGACATTCAGAAGAATGGTTCAGGGGTTTATATTTATGCTCACATCATAAAAGCAACATTCAGTCATATACTCACTAAAACAAGATAGATACAGGTATTCCAGACAGATTTAATAAGCTAACAAACACGCTAACAGAAAAGATTTCAGATTAATTTTCAATTAATCAAAAAAATTAAATAAGTTCATGTCCTGAAAATTGCAACCAAACCATATTTTCTATATTTGTTCATTTAATTTTACATCAAATTGCTCAGTCTTATAAATCACCAATTCACAATAAAGTGTTCAGGCATCAGGAGAGTAAACACATTTTATTCTCAGATTTGAAAAAACTCAATTGCATTTAAGTAACCGTTACTAAAATTAATCTTGAGATATTATTGGCATATTTTAAACCATTAAAAAAAATTTCCTAAAGAAATAACTTTGAAAATAACTTATGTACAAGAGGACAGATGTAGTATCTACAAGTTTTAGAGTTTGATATAATTTGTCATATGTATATATTTTACAATCTCAACTTTTTCTTCATTGTGTGGTTTTAATATTCAAAAGTCTCATGATAATGCTATACACGCCTCTATTATTTTTAATAGGTAAAAAAATACTACCCTCCAAAGTGCTCTGATGCTGATTCATTTTTCAATGAAAGCCAAAGGCAGTAAAAAAATAAATAGCATTGGGAGAATGACCAATTTAATATTTATTTAGTTATAGTTATTCAGGACTTGAATAAACTGACTTTTCACCAACAGTATATTACTGTGGAGAAACAAATGAGAGATTTTGGAATAGTTAATTTTTATAAAATCATGATTTTAAAGGAAAATTTAACTTACTTGATGGAGATGAAAGTGTCGCTTTAAAAAATATAATAAAATTGTCAAGAAAAAAAATACACAATGATCACACTTCCCTGATCAATATGGAAGGTGACGCCATCAGATGGGAAAAAGTTGAGAGCAGCTCTGATGGCACCAAGCCCTTGACTGCTTCCCTGCTTCCAGGTAAGTAAGATGCACCTGCAGTGCTGTTCTTACCGGTCAAGTCAAGACCATCCATTGTGATTTCAATGGAACATCAGAATTTCCAGCTTCTGTGATGCGGCAGGATTCTGTGAAAGACCCACAGCAAAGTAGTTAAAATCCCCCCAAAAATAAAACCATCAAAATCAGGCAAATTATTAAAAATGTCTATGTTAACACTATTTAGAGAAAGTGGCCTAAAGTGTTTATGTCGAAATTAACAAAAAGTCACTAAAATTATTCAATGGGAATTGGGAGAGTAAAGTTACAGAGACAAAGAATTACAGGTGACCACTTCTCAGCTTTTTGGCTAAAACTAGGTGTAGAATTACAGGCAAATTCCCTTGGAAAAACATGACTTAATTGGCATCCTGACGAAATTCAAGTTATTTTAAATAACTGGCCCAACCAGACAAGCTATGGTTCAAATATTAATATCTTATCATTTATCTTTTAAATGTTTTAAACATAATGAGTGAAGCAAGATAGTTTAAAAAAAATCATGGGGTATGGTGGAGATGCAAATATAGGAAATCTGAATTCTCATTCAACTAAGAGGGACGATTTCCGGCCCTTCCCCCCTTCCCCCCCCCTGCCCCCGCAGATTATGACAATATATTGACAATATATTTCTTTATGATCAGTAGGCTATAACACACTCTAGAAATTCGATATCACTACTAGCTTCCAGCTTTATGAATACTATCAGTCATTTTCCGGCTTGAAGTTTTTTTCCTAATCGCTATGTCATATGATATGGAAGAACTGGCTCTTACACATTAAATATCAAAAACATGTAATGATTCATTTAAGTAATCCTATCTAGACTTAGATGATTCAGTTATCACCCAGTGCTAGCGAAGAAAACAATAGCTGGAAAGAATGAATAAAATATTAAATGGTCTCATGTAGCTTCACACAAGATACTCCTCATTCATCCGTATTTTTTAAAACAAATGTATGGATGAAAGAATAAATCCAGATCTTTGAAGTAAACTACAAAGGATACATATGAATACTTCCAAATTAAATGACTATGTTTTTACTAAGGATTGTACAATTTCAACAACTGACTAAATAATGGTGTAAAAGTCTATTCTTAATTATTATAGCATAAAATAAGCAACTAAATATTATTTAAAATGCTGTTGTAAGAAAATCACAAACTATCATATATTTATTTGTGTTTTTTTCTTCACATAAATCCATAAAAGCCATAATAGAGAAGAACCATTAAAATAAGTATTGTAAAATAAATGAGTAAAAATTGTGATGTAAAAAAACGTGTCAGGTAAGTAAATTGGGATAAACTAAAAATTCTATATATATAATTTATATGCCAAAATTGGGAGACAAGTTTCCACTACTAATTTTGACAGTATGGGTTTAATTCTTATTTTGGTTGATTTGTTTACTTTTTAGTTTAAGAAATGAGCACATGCTGTCTGGGAAATTAAATATGCTAGTAAGTCCTATCTATAGAACCTCTTTTAGGATCAAAAATGAACTGTCAATGATCTTCAGGTACCCTTTTATTTTTTTCTACAATCAGACATGTATCCCCAAAATGGACCATAACTATACCTTGTTTTGATTAGTGTTTAATAATTTCTCACCTGTGAGGAGTGGGGAGGAAAAGGAAGGAGGTTGGCTGTGCTGTGGCCAATGTGGGTTTTAAAAACCTTAGGATAACAGCGAGTGTTGGATTTAACTTACTAGG